AGGATTATAAATTTGTTGGTGAAGTATTAGTGTTAAAAATATTCAACCAATATTTTGGAATAAATGATATTTTAGAACTACTTGTTTGTTTAACTTCTTCATAAAAATTATTTATTTAATAATTTGCGTAATATTAATCTTTCACATAATGATTGACTTGAGATGTATCAAATATCTAAAATTTAATTTTTCTGTCTTAAAGTGTATAATCGGTTGACAAAAATGAATATCAAACGAGATAAGATTGCTACTGTTTCAATATTCTCATTATCATTCTTGTGTTTCCTTTACCAATTATTGTAATATGAATGCAATTTTTATAAGATTCTGACATATTATTAAGCAAGGTGAAAACATTTGAATGAGACTATGCGTGTTGATGTATATTACGATGATTCGAAACTCTTCTAATCGGTTGTTGTACAGATTATAGATCTATCCAAATCTTTTAGTTTCAAACTAGAGTGTTAGGATGAGTTTGGAGCAATGGCGTGGTAGCGGTGCGGTGTCGCGCCGTATTTTTGTTTGTTTGGCAAAATTATATTTTTATGTTTTTTTCTTAACTATTGTTGAAAACTATGTTTCGCAATCGAACATGACTAAATGCGGTGGCTGCTGGAAAGTTGCAGTCTAATTTTTTGAGAAAAAATTTTGTAAAAATCACTGCAATTTTTTGAAAAGTAATTTTTTTTTGCAGTAATTTCACAACAACTTCAAACAAATGCAACTACCCCAAACAGACCCTTAATGTAGGTTGACATGCTCATGATTTTTCTAATCTTATTTGGACCAACTCTTAGAATTGTGGTTACGTAATGTTGAATCCAAAAGTGTTCGGAGAATCACGCCCAAGGCATAGAGCATATAAAGAGAGGAGTAAGAAGGGAAAAGGAAGTGAACAACAAAAAAGAGAGCATCTAGTGTCTTTTCTCATGAAATGATGTCTTATTTATAGGTATAGGAAATATCAATAGCACATAATTATACTTAAGACCCCCTTCTATACAAAGAAGCTTAGGGGTATTAATGTCATTTGTATAATATATAAATATATTTAAAATAGATTTATTGGTCCTGCTGACTTTCGATCGTCAGCTCATGTTTATTCATTCGGTGATGACAGACTGAATCACATAAGAATGATATAAAGACCTCTCGAGTAAGCTTATCCATGGTTTTGCTTCAATCTTCGGCTTACCTTCTTCATTCGGTTGGCGATGAGTTGTCTTTAGTTCGGCCTGGTGTAGAGCTCACATTCGTGCGACCTGGTGTAAAGTTGTTCTTCTTTTGGTCTGCTTCGTCAATTGGCTTGCCTACTGAAGGGACTGACTTATCAGAGCTTTGAGATGTTTTTTTCTCTTGACTTAGCATCAAAGTTTACTCTAATAAAGTAAATTATTGTTTGATTGGATCTCTATAGACTTTGACTGTGGATCTTTCTTATTTTTCGTGTATCTACATTTTTCTTTGAGATTCGTGTTGTGGTGATCCAATCATACATCTTATAATATCATGATTGAGAATAATTCATGTTAGGGCCTAGGGGTACGAGCAAATAAGAGTTAAAACTTTTGAGTTCATTAGTGTATGATCGAAAACCCTTAGACCAGATTCCTAAGGAGAATTAGCTATGCCATTGACAAATCGATAAATCAATTCTCTGTTTCTCCTTTGATGTTCTCATTTCTAATTATTCCTTGATGTTTGAGTCCACAAACTAATTAGAATCCAACAATAAAAATTTTATCCAAGATTTATAACAAATATGAACATTTAGAGAAGAAATGTTTACGGTTAATCTCATCATTTTCATCTTTTCTATTTCTTACCTCCGTGTTTACTTCTTCCTCTTTTTTTTTCTTTTCATTCTTTTGCTACTTCAGCACCATTTGATGTCTTCTTCAATCTTTATTTAAGATCTTAAATGATTTTTTTTTTTTCGGGAAAAAAAGCAAGTGTATGGTACTAGGGTTAATTAAAACTCTAAATAAGAACTCACTAAGATTGATTCAAAAAATCCCAATATAATTATTTGTTAATATACATCCCATATATTATTAGGATATAGAAATTGATAAGAACTTAGATATTAGGATTTATAAGGAAATCCAACCTACCGCTAAGATAAATAAAATGTTTATAAGCTACTAGGCTATTTAAAAGCTTAATAAGCACTTGGTTCATCGAAAATAATTGAGGTATACTATTTGCTTTTATAGAAGACCTTGATAAGTTATTGAAACCATACAATGTGTGAAAAATCCTAGTATACTATTGGCGTTTATGCACATATTAGTAGAAGAAATTGGGTTTGAGATAGAGGTTTGCACCCCATTTAATTTTAGTTTTAGGAATGTCTAAACATTTAGCTCATAATAGAGGTTGAGAAGTTGGCTAGAATTGATGTGCATCTAAACATCCATAATGGTACAATAATGAATTATTGTCTTAGTGTTGCACGGAAACTCAACACACACTCAGGTAATTAAAGATAAATAAGAGGAGACACGTCAATTTTTACGTGGAAAATTCTGGAAATGGGAAAAACTACGAGGTTTGACCAACTTCAAATGTTCCACTATGAATGGTGAGTATACATGTCCACTCTTCTCTAGAATCTGTGTCAGTGAAAGTGATAGGAGGATGAGTACTGTGCTTGGGAGTGAAATTGGTCATGCACTGTTCCTCTAACTGGAGCCTCTTCTGACTAGCTCACCGAGATGATTCTCCACCTCAAAAAATTCTTGGTACTATCCAGGCGATCTTGATGACGTTCGCTCAGACTAATTCATCTGACATCTCCTCTAATGGAGCCTTCCATTGCCTCTGAATTGATGCTCCTGGTGCTACAAATACTTTGAGCTTTCTAGCCCTAATTAGTTTCTTGAGTTGGCTCTAGAGGTGTCTGCACTCCTTTGTATCGTAGTCGTGGTTCCTGTGGAAAGCATAATACTTTTTCGTGTCCCAGGGAATAGCTCCGGCTAGAATATGTTGTGTCTTCTTGAAGTACTCTTTATTTTGGTTGACCTCCACTAACTCTGTCATCGGGGCTCTTGCTGGAGTAGCCTCTAGTGTTTCGTGGTCATTTGATGGTCGCTCAGGATAACAAGCCAGTCGCTAGTCAGTGTACCCCACTCACCTCCTTTATTGTTATTCTCATCACCCCCCATGTAGTCCCAAGGTGGCTAGTTATCTTCATATCATGGTCAAGCAGATGTATCTTCCCTCAGTCTGTGTTTGTCGTCTCATGAAGCCCTCCTTATCAGATGTTGGGTGGTTGCTTCAGTCATAGAGGACATGGGGGTAAAGTTGTACTCCTCGACCAAAATGTGATTGTTGGTCAACTCCAACAATTAAGCCAAGGTCTTCAGTCATTGAAGACCCAGGGTGTAGCGGAATGGCCCCTCTTTCAATCCTTGAGCTAGGACAACATGTTACATCGGGTTCTAGATCCTACACTTCCAGTGTCTCCTTTGGAATTGGGTGACAAATGAGTGGAGGCTTTTGTTGTGCCTCTGTCTGATTTGTAGCAGGGCCTACAAACTCTCATGAGACTTGTGAGTGCTGGCAAAATGCGACGTGAACATCATCTTGAAATCGGTGAAGGAGATGGTGACTCCAACCAGTAGTTCATTGAATCACCTGAGGATCCATTCCCTCGGCATTGTGAAAAAGAGACGGAGCTTCAGTGGCTGAATGTGTCTAAGTTTTTTTATGTCGATCGGCTCATCAATACTTTCATGGTACTAGGACTCTTCCACTTTTTCTTTGGGCAAGTGTGCCCTCCGATCATCGGGCGCTAGTCTTCGTTCATGAGGGTTCTGCTCTCGAGAGATCTCCTCCATTCATTGAGCTACAACTTCTCAAGATGGAACTTGCAATGGTAATGGTTTCGTAAAACAACATAATTGATACCCATAAAAAACATCAAAATAACTAAAAAAAATGACCAAAAATAAAAGTATAAATAAATGCAGATTCCTCGAGAAGGGAGAAGTTTTTAAATAGGTGTGTATAGGGGTGTAAACGAGCCGAACACGAGCTGAGCCTAGCTCGTTTATATTTCGAGCTCAAAAAGTGTGTTCGTGTTCGACTCGTTTGCTTAGTGAGTCGAGCATGAGTTGTTCAAGCATAAATAGTCATTTTAACAACCCTAATCACGTAGCTATAAAATGTTAAGGGTTCGGGCAAAATTTAAAAATTATTGTTTATATTAAAACATCATTT